CCAAGGATGGGGACACCCAGGACGGGACACCCAAGGATGGGGACACCCAAGGATGGGGACACCCAGGACAGGGACACCCAAGGATGGGGACACCCAAGGACGGGGACACCCAAGGATGGGGACACCCAAGGATGGGGACACCCAAGGATGGGGACACCCAAGGATGGGACACCCAAGGACGGGGACACCCAAGGATGGGGACACCCAAGGATGGGGACACCCAAGGATGGGGACACCCAAAGGCAGAGGGACCCAAGGGCAGGGACACCCAAGGATGGGGACACCCCTGAGGATGGGGACACCCAAGGATGGGGACATCCAAGGACAGGGACACCCAAGGACGGGGACACCCAAGGACAGGGACACCCCTGAGTACAGAGACACCCAAGGATGGGGACATCCAAGGACAGGGACACCCAAGGACGGGGACACCCAAGGATGGGGACATCCAAGGACAGGGACACCCAAGGATGGGGACATCCAAGGATGGGGACACCCAGGACAGGGACACCCCTGAGTACAGAGACACCCAAAGGCGCGGACACCCAAGGATGGGGACATCCAAGGATGGGGACATCCAAGGATGGGGACACCCCTGAGGACGAGGACACCCCTGAACACAGAGCGACCCCGGACAAGGACACCCAAGGACGGGGACACCCAAAGGCAGAGGGACCCAAAGGCAGAGGGACCCAAGGGCAGGGACACCCAGGACAGGGACACCCTTGAGTACAGAGACACCCAAAGGTGCGGACACCCAAGGATGGGGACACCCAAGGATGGGGACACCCCTGAGGATGAGGACACCCAAAGACAGGGCCACCCAAAGACGGGGACACCTAAGGACGGGGACACCCCTGAGGATGGGGACACCCAAGGACGGGGACACCCAAGGACGGGGACATCCAAGGACGGGGACATCCCAGGACGGGCACCCCGCTGAGGACAGGGAGAGCCAAGGGCTGGGCCCCGGGCGCCGTGCCCACCTCCTGGATGATGCTGTCGGAGGCCGACTGCACCTTGGGCTTCTTGGCCGGGGAGGCCAYGGGCTCCACCTGCGCCTTGAAGGTCACGAGCTGCAGCTCGTAGTCCTGCGGGAGACGCCGTGAGCGGGAGCGCTTCCGAGCGCCGCTCCCGCGGAGCACCCACGGCGCGCTGGGAGCACCCACGGCGTTCCCGGGAGCACCCAGGGCGCGCTGGGAGCTCCCACGGCGCGCTGGGAGCACCCAGGGCGTTCCCGGGAGCACCCATGGCACTGCCAGGAGCACCCCATGCCGTTCCCGGGAGCACCCATGGCATTCCCAGGAGCACCCACGGCATTCCCAGGATTACCCCATGGAGTTCCCAGGAGCACCCACGGTGTTCCCAGCAGCACCCCATGGCATTCCCAGGAGCACCCACGGCATTCCCAGGAGCACCCCATGGAGTTCCCGGGAGCACCCATAGCGTTCCCCGGAGCACCCCATGGCACTGCCAGGAGCACCCCATGCCATTAACAGGAGCACCCCATGGAGTTCCCGGGAGCACCCACGGCATTCCCAGGAGCACCCATGCCATTCCCAGGAGCGCCCCATGCCGTTCCCAGGAGCACCCACGGCATTCCCAAGAGCACCCCATGGAGTTCCCAGGAGCACCCATGGCGTTCCCGGGAGCACCCGCGGCCCCCGCGCAGGCACCTTGATGGCGTCTATGTACTGCTTGGCGTGCCGCTGGCACTGCTCCACCTTCTCCTTGTTGCGCTCGCACTCCTCCAGCAGCTTCTGCAGGGACGGGGGGGCCGTGAGGCGCCGGCGCATGCGGTGCTGCCGTGCATGCTGCCGCCGTGCATGGTGCCGCGGTGCATGGTGCCGCGGTGCATGGTGCTGCCGTGCATGCTGCCGCCACGCACGGTGCCACCGCGCACGGTGCTGCGGCGCATGGAGCCGCCACGCATGCTGCCATTGCGCATGCTGCCACCGCGCATGGTGCCGCCGCGCACGGTGCTGCGGCGCATGGTGCTGTAGCACACGGTGCCATCGCGCATGGTGCCGCGGTGCATGGTGCAACCGCGCATGGTGCTGCCGCATGCAGTGCTGCTGCGCACGGTGCCATCACACACGGTGCTGCCGCATGCAGCACATGCAGCACATGCAGCACATGCAGTGCATGCAGCACTGCCGTGCACGGTGCTGCAGCACACAGTGGCACACAGTGCCATCGCGCACGGTGCTGCTGCATGCAGTGCTGCTGTGCACGGTGCTGCAGCACACGGTGCCATCGCGCACGGTGCTGCCGCATGCAGTGCTGCTGCGCATGGTGCTGCGGCACACGGTGCCATCGTGCACGGTACTGCTGCATGCAGTGCTGCCGCTCACAGTGCTGCAGCACACGGTGCCATCGTGCACGGTGCTGCCGCATGCAGTGCTGCTGTGCACGGTGCTGCAGCACACGGTGCCATCGTGCATGGTGCTGCCGCATGCAGTGCTGCTGTGCATGGTGCTGCAGCACACGGTGCCATCGTGCACGGTGCTGCTGCATGCAGTGCTGCTGTGCATGGTGCTGCAGCACACAGTGCCATCGTGCACGGTGCTGCCGCATGCAGTGCTGCTGTGCATGGTGCTGCAGCACACGGTGCCATCGCGCACGGTGCTGCTGCATGCAGTGCTGCTGTGCACGGTGCTGCAGCACACGCTGCCATCGTGCACGGTGCTGCCGCATGCAGTGCTGCTGTGCACGGTGCTGCAGCACATGCTGCCATCGTGCATGGTGCTGCTGCATGCAGTGCTGCTGTGCACGGTGCTGCAGCACACGCTGCCATCGTGCACGGTGCTGCTGCATGCAGTGCTGCCGTGCACGGTGCTGCAGCACACGGTGCCATCGCGCACGGTGCTGCCGCATGCAGTGCTGCCGTGCACGGTGCTGCAGCACACGGTGCCATCGTGCATGGTGCTGCTGCATGCAGCACTGCCGTGCACGGTGCTGCGGCACACGCTGCCATCGCGCACGGTGCTGCTGCATGCAGTGCTGCTGTGCACGGTGCTGCGGCACACGGTGCCATCGCGCACGGTGCTGCTGCATGCAGTGCTGCTGTGCACGGTGCTGCGGCACACGGTGCCATCGTGCACGGTGCTGCCGCATGCAGTGCTGCCGTGCACGGTGCTGCGGCACACGGTGCCATCGTGTACGGTGCTGCCGCATGCAGTGCTGCTGTGCAC